CTTTGTGGTCCCTTCCAGCTCAGGATATTCCATGATTCAACTTGGTACGTTCCTTGGTGAGCAGAGTGAGAACATCTTTTCTCAAGTCATGCAAGGTTTGGCATTTTCCACCTGCTCTGCCCTGGAACAGCTGCTGTGGCCAAACTTCACCTGAATCTGCTGCTGCTGACAAAGCAGTACCGTGGTACTACGGCCTCATTCACCGCTGCCTGCCCCAGATTAGGAACTCTGGGGGCAGGACCTAAGGCAGCAGCTCACAGAGATGGGTTGTGCCAAGGTTTAATCAAGGAATCACAGAATCAATTAGGATGGAAAAGACCTCTGAGATCATTGAGTCCACTCTATGATGGAACACCACTTGGTCAACTAGACCAGAGCACTGAGTGCCATGTCCAGTTTTTCCTTGGACACCTCCAGGGATGGGGACTCCCCTGGGCAGCACATTCCAGTATCTAATCACCCTTTCAGTGAAGAAATTCTTCCTGGTATCCTACTTAAACCTCCCCTGGCACAGCCTGAGGCTCTGTCCTCTTGTCCTGTCCCTTGTTCCCTGGGAGCAGAGCCCGATATCCCCCTGGCTCCCCCCTCCTGTCAGGGAGTTGCAGAGCCAGAAAGTCCCCCGTGAGCCTCCTTTTCTCCAGGCTGAGCCCCTCCAGCTCCCTCAGCCTCTCCTCACAGGAAGGTGATGCTGCTCCTGTGCCAAACTTGGCTCTGCCAAAACCACCCTGCAGACCATCTGCAGCATCAGCAGCACTGACAGAGCTGAACCAGGGTCTGCTTTCTCCTTTGGGGGAGGTCTGGCTGTTTCCCTGGGGTTTTATGGCACCACTGCAGGGACTGTCTCAGATGCTGGACCGACGTCCACCCGCAGGGTCCATCCCAGTGCATCAGTTCAGTCCCTGCCAAACCAAACCTGTGTTAAACCCAGCACAACTGGGGGCTTGAAATTATGTGCCAGTTCTTGACACATCACATCATCTCTGAGATGGTACCAAGATCAGGGGATGAGTTTTAACGCCCTGGAGCCAGGAGAGAGATTCCCCTCTGTCTCTTAGCTGTGCCATTTCACAGAATCCATCTCTCCAGGAGAACTCTTGGTCATTTCAGAGGTTACAGATGCGGTTTCACAAGATTCATTTTCATGAAATGAGACTTTTATCCTCCTTTTTCTAAACCCTCTCATCTCACAGTGCACTTCAGGTATGATATTAACTGTACAAACTCACACATTCCCAGGTAGGAATGTTAACAGGGAATGCTCAAGAACTGGAGAATGATGTGCAGGGGGATGCAGAAGGATGTAAGAGCAACACAGCATCCTGCTCAGAACAGGAGACAGGCACATGCAGCCACCTTTCACTAATGGGAAAAAAACTTCGGGAAAGATGAATAAATCAAAGGGATAATTAAGAAGGGATCGTTTTTGAACTGCATCAAATCTGGAGGAAGATGTCAACAGTTAGTCTTAACACCTCCTCCCACAAAGCCTTCCACTTTCAGCCTCTGCCACAACGTGGTGTGGATCAGTTTTCAAATCTTTTAAAGCAAAGTGGAGCTCTCCATTCTCACACTATTCCCAGCATACTGATCCCAAGTATGCAAAAACCAGCAGCCAGAATTATTAAGGGTGTTGGAAGCAGATGTTTTGATGTAACTTGGACAGAAATTACAGGAAGTGAGATATTATTGCATTTCCTTGGCCTAAATAGTAATAAGACTGTGTGTCTATAGGAAAATGAGGAAAATCACAGTTGTCTAATAACAATTCCACTACCTCAGAATGAAGTTTTGGGCTGATAATGCTGTGGAAATTTCACTTGTTTCAGTAATCAAATCTCCCTCTCATCACCTCACTGCTATCAGGCTTCTGATATAATTGTCCTGATCACTTCTAACAGTGAGGAAAGTTTGTCTTTCAGCACAGCCAATCTTGTCCTCTTTTCCTGCACTGCTTCAGACTCACTCGTTTATACAATCAGATTTTTTTCCCATATAAATACTCCTTTCTAGGAAAATAAATTCAAAATAGTGCCAATGTTCAGGTAATCAATATAAACAAAGACACAAAAATATTATCAAAAGGGACAAAACCTCTTGTTTTTTCACCTGAGAGGATCAGGCTTCCCACTTATTTCTGTCTGCAGAAGGAGTTGTCTCCAACATCCTGACACAGAGCACTGACACAGAACTGCTCAAAACCCACCTGGCTGAAAAGACAGCAAAAAGAACCCTTAAAACAAAAGAACCTAAAGCTCAGACCGCCTGGAATTTCCTCTTAACACCTCTTCAAGCATTCGCTGTTCATTGAGCCTTTCATTTCCTTCTCAAATAACCTCCCACTGAGTTAAACCAACACAATCGAACAAAATCTCCGTAACCAGGAGACACGGGGAGCTCCCACAGATCCACGGAACACGTGGAGATCTATCCCACCCCGTCCCGTAGTGCCATCTGAGCTGGGATCAGCAGCTGCAGGAGGAAAACCGGAGCCCTGGACTCAGATTATGGCATCAGTTCTGCCAAAGACTTACTTGGAAAAGAGGAATGTCCTCAGGGATGGACAGACCTGTGAGCAGAGGGGTGATGGAGCTCAGTGAAAAATAATCACAGAGTCATTTAGGTTGGAAAAGACCTTCAAGATCATCCAGTCCAACCTTTGAACAATCACCACCTTGTCAGCTGGAATAATTGGTGTCTCCTGGTGAACTCACTTGTGGACTCTCTGACACAATGTGTCAGCTTTTACTCCCTGGGGACTGGAACAGGTTTTTCTCTCTCCTCTGTTTTCATGGACTCTGCAAGCATTTGTTATCTGAAAAATCTACACTGAAAAATGTGGTTGAAATGGGTCAAATCTAAAAGTTACTACAGGGACAGGCTCTGTGTTTCCTGCACACATTAAACACCACGATAATTATGAAATAATTTCACAGAAACACAGAATCGTGGAATGGTTGGGGTTGGAAGGGACCTTAAGGATCATTTTAGTCCAACACCCCTGCCATGGGCAGGGACACCTCCCACTATCCCAGGTTGTCCAAGCCCCATCCAACCTGGCCTTGGACACTTCCAGGGATGGGACAACCACAGCTTCTCTGGGCAACCTGTGCCAGGGCCTCCCCACCCTCACAGGGAAGGATTTCTTCCTAATATCCAATCTAAATCTAATATTCAAAAGAGACTAATTATTCAGTGCTTTATGCTACGCTTTTTCATGATTCAGCTGTGTTGATTTCATGATTCAGGACATCAAGACAACAAGCTAAAGATCACTAGAAAACACTAATCAGGTTTGCTCCAAAGTTTTTAAAGAAGCAGCATAAATACAACCACTATTTCTTCTTAGTCACCCCGTTCTGCAGATACTTGAGGAAAACTAAATCAAAGTGGCAAGGAGTAGCCTCAGTCCTCTCCTTGTGCTGGAAGCAAATCTGTGTGTCCTAAAGCTCCTGTGACAGCAGGTGACACTGTGACAGCAGTGACAAAGCTCTCACCAGGTGCTGGGTTCATTTCATTTTATAAATCCTTTTATTTCACTTGACCACAACACTCTCTTCTTCTGGTCACTGCCATAGTACAAATACAGCCTGGACCTTCCCACTCCAGCTCCCCCTCTGTCCCAAATCCTGGGCTCAGCTCTGTCACACATCCCTCCCCACACTCCAACTTGTGATTCCTTCACCATTTACCTCCTCAGCAACATGATACCTTCCAAGTGCTTATTTTAAGCAGCTCAGAAGCTGTTCAGATCTGTGCAAAACAGCAAATCAACTCCCTGCCTCAGTATCTGCACCAAACTGGGGCATCCTTGGGATCTGTTTAGGGAGCATTCAAGATCCCACCTCCTCCTCCACACTCCTCCTGGCCTCCATCCTCCCCCTGCACTGCTGGTTTCTTTAAAGCTCACGTGGTCCAAAAGGACACCTCTATCATGACAGAATACTCTTCTTTCCTCTCCTGAAGTTTTCAGGGAGGCAAAAGTTAAACAGGACCGTTTTTGTTTCTTCTAGTGAAAACTGCTCTGGACAAAAATACAAGAAACTGGGGAAAAAAATGGTTGTGCCTGAGGAACTGGTAAACCCCCTGTGGGAAGGGATGTGCTTTGAGCCTGATCCCCCCCTCCCACTGGGATGTTAAGTGATGCAGCACTGCCTTAAATGTAGAGAGACATCCTGAGGAACCCCGTGTCATTCCACACCACCCCCTGAAACATAACAAGCAGAATATTCTTCTCTCAGCACATCAAAACCACAGGGAAAATCAGGAATCACAGAATCAGTCACGGAATCACAGAATGGTTTGGGTGCGAAGGGATCTTAAAGATTCCAATTTGTTTCACCCCCCTGCCATGGGCAGGGACACCTTTCACTATCCCAGGATGCTCCAAACCTCATCCAACCTGGCCTTGGACACTTGCAGGGATGGGGCAGCCACAGCTTCTCTGGGCAACCTGTGCCAGGGCCTCCCCACCCTCACAGGGAAGAATTTCTTCCATATATCTCATGTAAACCTATTCTCTTTCATTTTGAACCCACTCCCTCTTGTCCTGTCACTCCATACTCTTATAACAGCCTCTATCTTTCTTATAGGATCCCTTCAGGTACTGGACAAATCAGGTCACCCCAAAGCCTTCTCCAGGCTGAACAATCCCAATTCTCTCAGCCTTTCTTTGCAGGAGAGGTGTCCCATCCCTCTGGGTACAACTCAGGTTTCCCATCTCCCTCCCACCCACTTATCCACTGCAAGTCATAAGTGAAGAAACATCAGTGACAATGAGACCCAACTCCCTTCTCCTGGAATAACAAATCCATGTTCTGGCTGCAAGGTCGGCACATCCACAGGCTCTGGACTCTGCCAAGGCAACACACGGATATCACAGAGACCTGACAAAGGCTGACAGCAGACCTTTTCTTACATCCTCTGCCAGCTCTCCTGTGTGCCAAAATATCCAACCACCTCTACCCCCCTCCCTGAGGAAACAACCCCCAGCTCTGCCTTACCCTAATCCACGGATAGAGTCGATGTGCAGGACAGAGAGCAGGGCCCAGGTGACACCAACCAGCACAGGTTTGCTTTTATTTCAATTTTCAGCTGCTCTAGATTCCTACCTGGTGGCTGCTGAGCCAAACCTGCAGAGCCTGGCACTGGGAGCTGCATTTCTGCTTCCTCAGAAAGCCAGCAGTTAATGGCATTCAGGCTGACTCAAGAATCATGGAAATATCTTTATTAAGCATGTCAGGAAACGTAGCAAAATGCTGTGTCGAACAATTGGCCGTAGCAATGCTACTCAGCCCTGCAAAGTGAGCCTGGATCACATCTGATGTGTTACATAAAATATATGTCAGCATTTTCCTGGCAATAACAATAGAGCAGTTGTTGAAAAAACCTTAACACGCTGCAAATAAAATATTTGGAATTGTGGTCACTGCGGAGCTTAACACACTCAGCTGGAGACTCACATGTCTCAATCCCCTTACAAAGTGCTGAATAAGGCCACTTTTTTAGGTATATAGATACACAGTGGTGAGTTTAAGGTCTTCTTATATATTTCAGGTATAAAAGACATTTTTATTTAGCTCTATCTATGCATTCCTGCATATAGGGATATGACCGGAGGAGTAAAAAATGGAGATGAAAGCAGGAAAGCAAGGCCAGTGTGAGGGAGGAGATACAGTAGCAAAGTTTTTCATGAGGCTTGAAAACTGCTGAGATTAGTCAGGAAAGAAATCAGAAATAATAGGAAAGCAGGAAAGCAGTGGATGATCATATAAGGAGGAGGGAAAGCACTAAATGTACGGGATGGGGAAATGAAAAAAAAATAGAAATAAAAAATACAGACAAACAAAAAAACCCCAACCCAAACAAACAAGCAGAGAAGAACTGCCTTTTAAATGAGTTATAGAATTGCCAAGGGTCAGAGAAGAGTTCAGGAGCCAGGAATGCACCCTCAGAGTTCAAGCATGTGATTTCTCCATAGAATTCTGTCCAGCTGGAGCTCTGGATGCTGTCATTGCAAGGCTTTGAGAATCCACCCATTGCTGACTGTGGGCCCCATCCCCCCAGTAACTACACCAGTAACTCATCTCCTCGGTGCTCTCACTGAATCAGAAGCTGCTTTTGGAACATTTGGGGGATGGAGAATCCTCCAACTCAACCCAAGCCCAGCCCAACAGAGGTGGCCTCCTGTGACTTCTTGTGACCTGACCCTATGGGACAAATTCCAGTTAACATCAGTGCTTCCAGTGACTCCAACAGGGTCGGGATTTCATCTCCTGCTACTTATGGGTCTGAGCTGTGCCGGCTCATCCTGAATCCCACAGAGGTGCTGACACCTCATTCCTGAGCTCTGAGCAGAAACCTCCTTCCCCAGACACATGTCCCCATCCAGCCTGGGCTTGTCCCACAGCGTGGGCAGCAGGGGAGGGGGGAATTCTGCCCCTCTGCCCCCTCAGGTGAGATCCCACCTGCAGAGCTGCCTCCAGCCCTGGGGAACGACAGCACAAGGACGTGGAGCTGCTGGAGAGAGTCCAGAGGAGGCCACGGAGATGCTGCCAGGGCTGGAGCCCCTCTGCTCTGGAGCCAGGCTGGGAGAGCTGGAGGTGTTTACCTGGAGAAGAGAAGGATCCAGGGAGACCTGAGAGCCCCTTCCAGGGCCTAAAGGGGCTCCAGGACAGCTGGAGAGGGACTTGGGACAAGGGCCTGGAGGGACAGAACAAGGGAAATGACTTCAAGCTGAAAGATGGCAGGGTTAGATGGGATATTGGGAAGAAATTCTTCCCTGTGAGGGTGGGGAGGCCCTGGCACAGGTTGCCCAGAGAAGCTCTGGCTGCCCCATTCCTGGAAGTGTCCAAGGCCAGGTTGGATGGGGTTTGGAGCAACCTGGGATAGTGGGAGGTGTCCCAGCCCATGGCAGAGGGTGAAACAAGATGACCTTTAAGTTCTCTTCCAACCCAAATCATTCTGAGATTCTGTGACCCTTCCAACCAAACCATTCTGGGATTATCAGTAAAAATCCCTCTGGCATAAAAATAAAATTCAACTTGACCTGAAAAGGACACACAGGCACTGATTCAGCACCAGTTTAGATTAAATTCAACATTTCATATAAGTAAGGAAAGTCCCAGACTTTCCAGCTTTTCCCTCCGTAATATCCCAGGATCATCAAGTACTCAGGGCTAGACTGGAACAGCTGGAAAAGGGATACACTGGGTATACTCAGCCCTGTGATGCTCAGTGACAGGAGCAGGACTAGGTTGGTGGCTGTGCTGTGTTTCAGGTACCTTTGAAGAGACTGACACCAGCAGAAACAAAGCACTTGCATTTCTGTGAGCTCAGTCATCCCAGGAGAGCACTTCTGAAAGGTTTAGGAAGCCTTTTGATTAGAAGTGAAATTGGAAATCCCAGCTACAGATCCCAGCACAGAACAGGGAAAAACCTGCTGTCACCAAAACTACCCATTTCATATTTTTTTTTCCACAGCTCTACCAGACAATGAATTACACAGAAAACCAGATGAAGGGGAAGGAGGAACACAGAGGGCTGTTAGTGTGGTCTCACCATCACCTCCCTGCTCCAGGTAATTCTGGCTTTGTCCAAAGCTACCCTCGACAATCCCCCGCTCTCACCTGGTTTATCTGTGATGTCTCTTTAGGGATGAGGTGACTTGGTGCTGATTTTAATGCATCTCGACACCTATCAGGGCTCCTGATCTCACAAGGTGCCTTTCCCACCCTTCCCAGCTCCCCTTCTTCCCTAAAAAACTGCATCAGACAAGGACTTAGCCGTAAGCCAAACAGCTTAAATTAGTCTCTCGTCCCACTGAAGGGGGTGTTCAGTCTGGAGAAGAGAAGGTTCCAGGGAGAGCTCAGAGTCTCTTCAAGTGCCCAAAGGGGCTCCAAGAGAGCTGGAAAGGGACTTTGGACAAGGGCCTGGAGGGACAGGACGGGGGGAATGGCTTCCCACTGACATGGGATGGCACCACATCCACTTGGAGGGATTGAACATCAGTAGCATTTCTTTGCTTTTGTTATAAAAAAAGAAGAAAAACCCCAAATAACTAGAAAGCTGGGCCAGTCCTGAGCTAGAACTCAGTGGCTGATCCTTCTCCCCAAGTCCTGTCTGCAGGGATTTGCAGCAGGGACACAGCACCCACCCCACAAAGACACTGGGATGTTAATAAGACTTGTCTAAAGGAAAGAATGGCTTTCAAACCTGGCTGTAGCACCCTGGGCAGAGCCCCAGCTTATCCTGGGATCTGATGGACCAGGTAAGGAGAACAGTGGGTTCTACAGGCAGAGGAAAAAGGCTTGAGGAAGCAAAGCTTTATAGGAGCAGGAGGGTGGGGAGATCTGGCAGCCCCACTGGGAAAGCAAATTTGCTTTTCTTAGATTATTTAGGGTCTCCCACTAAATCTTCCTTGGCCCTGCCTCGTCTAACGCCGGCCCTGCCAGAGACACTAATTTTCCCTGCCCCATCTGTTTGGATTTGCTCACTTCCTAATTTATCCAACGCCTAGCTCCATGGTGGCTAAGCATTTTAATCACAGTGATTAACACACTGAGCAAGAACAAAACAAAAATGGTTAATCAAAGGCTATTAGCAGTGTTTGAATGTCTCGACGCCGCGTTTTACACATGAATGCTGGTTAACGATCATCTCCCCACAACACTTCCTACGGTCCCTGATTTATTCCTTCCTCTGCCAGCTCGCAGTTTGCCACCACCACGGCAGAGATTTTGACCCATTTGGCACCGGGAGGACACAACACTCTCCTCCAGGAAACGCTCAGGGTTTTCAGCCTGTCTGAAGTGCTCGAAGCCACGAGCAATCACTAGAAAATCCTCGGGAGAACAAGCACAGTGGGACAGAGATGCAACCTCTGATGCTTCCAAACATAAAGAGGATCCTTCCCAAATCGAGGAATGGGACAGATCTACAACAAAAAATGCCAAGAACTGTCATTATTAGATATCTTAACTAGTGTTTGGCACACAGGGATATTATTTATGCACAAACACAGGGAGCTGGGGATTAATATAAGCCTCGACTTGCTCCTACAACCATACCCATCACCCCAAAATTATTCCCAGCATCAAAACGGAGCCCAGTGCCCAACTGGGAATCAGAACCCCCTGGGTGAAGCAATGTTAGCCCATAAAAAGACTCAAGGATTGCTCACAGGAAGCGAGGGGATGCCCTAATACCTGGCCAAAGTATTAATTTGGGAAGCCCAAGCCTGGAAGAATGAGTTACCTGGGCAGGGCAAGTGTCTTATCTGTGTTTGTAAAGCCTTGTGTAAATTAACAGCCTTGCACAAACAGGATTTAAAACAAAAATACAAGTGGAGCAACAGGGTTTATGGCTTTAAATACATCTCCAGTGATTTAGGCTGTGAGCACAGAGCTGAATGGTTTATTTACAAGTCATGGCTGCTTAAAGCAAAGCAGAAACGTAGGTTTGTTTGGGTGTTTTTTAATAGTTAATACCATTTAAAAGCAGCCCAAAAAGTTTGGCCACTCTTCCATGTTTTGAATTCCGCTGCTTTCAACTGGTCCTTCTGTCACTGAGCTTTTTCTGAGGCCCCATTGGCCAAATAAGTCGTATTTTTCTTATGAAATAGGACACCATGGGGCTCTGGTTCTGGGTTCAAAAGCCTCCAGTAAAAGCTGAATGATGGGTTGTGGAATCATGGAATCATTAAGGTTTGAAAAGACCTCTAAGATCATTAACCACTATGTCCATAATAACCAGTAAGTCAGAAAATGCTACAACCCCATGCCTGCACACAGACATCCAGCTCCCTTAGGATAAAAAAGGGTCTCTTTGGTGGTGAACTGGAAGGAATTGAAATGAGCAGCACAAGCAAACACTTCCTGTTCTACTCAGGTTTTCACCTACCTTTTCCAAGTAATCACCATTTCAGGGACATTAATTATTTCAGCTCAATCTTTGCTTTATTAGAAGTGTATATTTACAGCAAAATGGCAGTTTTGGGAGTTTTATCTCCAGTTTGGGTTTTCTGGATATGTGGAGACAAGTATCCAAAGTCCCAGTGCTGTGCAATAGAAAAGAGTCATCTCAAGATGGACCTCAATGAGCTCAGTCC